GCCCGCCCGCCCGCTCACGTGATAACATAATACGTCCCCGTCTTTGACGGGCGTATAAAAATTGCTCCAAAAATATTCCTAAATATAACTTTACTTTCGTTTTGAATATAATGGGGCTGGGCAAGGGTACTTTTGTTAACCAGGCAGCTCAGTTTGTTGGAGCGACAGTATAATGATCTGAGGTCTGGCATTCAAATCCTGGTCAGTGGCACCATTGCATTTTTACACTCAGAACACTGCTGTAGATTTTTGTAATTTCATCTCTATTGTTTTGTCATGAAAGTTTCAAAGGGTATGACTTTCTTTTCAGAATGATTTATCAAAGCTATAGTCATGCCAAAACAGGAAGTTCCTTATGCATAGTAACCTTTCCTGCAAAGGGATGGGATCCTTTTATTGTTAAAATTATGTTATACTGAATAGATCAACAGTTAATCAACTGATCGAAACAAAGGTTAGGTTATACTTACAATTACATCTTAATAATTCAGACAAAGTTAGTAATGTTTATGAGTTTTTTCTGATGTGACAACACTATAATTTCTACAATGGCTTGGGTGTAAACAGGACGTACAAAGCACCATATACAATTCAAACTTCTAACCTACACATTTAGCAATGATATCTACTTGTAGTGCTGGGAATCGGTTGAGATTTCAACATCGATGATCGGATATAATATAAAAACTGATCGATTTTTGATTATTAATGATAACAAATATTTACTGTTTTTTTAACAATGGCATATGGCTTTTCCTTTTATTAATACTACTAATGAAATTTCAACTTTTCCGCATAGTTTCGTATCTTTATTTATTATCATACCATTTTAACGAAACAATCTTTATTAATGAACAGTTATCATTTATATTTTTTACAATTAATTATGTTTAAATAGCATGATTGGTAAGAAGTTATAGTTCAGAGTAAAATGACATAGAACTCCCGTTCTCTCTTAGGGAGAATGAAAGTAGAACTTGACTTCTGGTTTTGAAAACTATCATCGATGTTGACATCTCATAATCGATTGTCGGGAATCGGTTGCTTTTCCAATTAGACAGTACATGTACATGTGAAGGGCTAAATTAACACTGGGCAAACATGGATTTTATCGCCAGAGGGCGAATATTTAACTGGGCGAAAACTTCCTGTTACACAGCATATAATATATATATCTATAGTCTCCCTCTGCATATATATTTGCTTGTGGATACTTTTACAGTAATCGAGGTACAAGTGGTGAGTGTACTGGGGGTGAGGTAGGTATTGTGTGGGACCAACATACAAGCCAAGTGACAGGACATAGATAAGTTGGTTAGACCTGCGTCCAAACCCGTCGTGCAGTATTTACCAGTAAAATATATTTAAATCAAACAATCTTTATGCTATATACCTCCTGCTATCTAGATAACATGGATTTTTATGATCATGTAAATATACATATAACAAAAATCCAAGCCTTACAAATGATTGTTGATTGTTTTTTAGGCAGGGATTTCACAAACATGAGGTTATAAAGTCTCTTCTAAAAAATAAAATCTGGTAAAAATAAAAAAACAAAATCTTCCAAATATTAACATTTTTTTTAACAAAAGCATCTGTAAATCTTTTTGCCAGTTATTCGCCATTTTTCACATAAAAACACAGGTGGCATCTCTTGACCACATTATTGATAGCAACAGAGAGCTAGAGTTAACTCCCCTTCTTTGATATCGTCAAAGCACAACCTATGAGAAATAACATCTTTATTGGCCGCTTTCTTTTATCGCGATCCAAACGGTTGGACTGGTTGGACCACAGTTGTTCGTTAATGACATAAGGTTGACCTAGTAATCTGGTACTGCTTTCAGGCGAATCTTGACAAAGCCTTGCAAGGCCTGCATAAACATCTGCAGGTTCGCCAGGATTTTACCCGAAATCTTTACATTAAAAAAGCAGACGCACCGGTTGTTCCGCAAGCATGTAGGTCAGAGACAGAATTCATACTCAATGAACAGCAGCAATGAGAGCTTCTACCAATAAACTGACAGTTTTGGATAATCATCTATTTGAAATGAACTGTTGTATGGAGCAAACCTTTACGTGTATATATATATAAAGTGCACCACCTGAAAACACTGTGCAAAATATCCACCAACAATTTACATTCCGGTTCTTATGAGCGGTGACCATCTATACTGAGATTATTGTGTATCCCTCATGTCAATGTTTTCTCTGGCCCTCCTGCCATGTCTGTCTTCTGTGAATCTGTCCTTGGTTGAAATAAACAGTTGGTCAGTTCCTTGGTGAGGTAAAATCTGTCACATGTGTCCGTCTTTGAGATAGTTTATGGCACATATAACTGCTTCTGTGACATCATCAAAGAGATGGACGCCCTCACGACTTGCAAGGTCTATCAGGTAGGCCCTGCCCCGCTGGTAGTCTTTCACAGCACACTCAGACAACTGGAAAAATAGGAAATTTCATATAAGGTGTATTTCAAAAAGTTAAGAATCTACTTGAATCGCTACTGTGATTGACATATAACCTTGACCTATGCCTACACATATACATTGATGATTACCAATACTGTCATCTTTGAAATCCATCCAAGGGTTGCACTTTCAATATACATGCATTCTCTGTGGCCTTGGATCCTCTCCTTGAAGGCATGCCATTAGTTATTTGATAGACAGTGGTACTTGTGCTTTGAACATTATCAAAGAGCTACTCTAAGATCAAAGCCTGTGTGGTTCACCTTCCTCTTTCATATAAATCTTTACTCCGAGATCACAGGTATAGAGGACTCTGCTAAGTATCACCCACAAGGTTGTGCTTACAATGGACTATGATTCTTGTCATGAGAAAATCCAAGGGTGTAAAGAAGACTGATATATTAAGGGTTTAACTATTGGATTTAAAGATGGTTTAGTTTTCTAATGTCATTTCTTTTCTTGTTATGTAGTGTACTGTACATACTGGTTTATCTGTTCTTTGCCCACACAGACAAATAAACTTACTCATATAATAGTATATGAAATGTAAGGCAATTGATTTATAAGCACCTGAAAAATCTTTTGCAACACCAAATGTTGTCGGAGTTCCATATTCTGAATATAGGAAGAATTCTTGCCCCAAACCAGACATCTATCAGTCAAAATGCCAAAAATCTGGCATCGGGGCTAGTGGAAACTGCCTTTCAGGTAGTAACTTCTATATAACGCAGAGTTTTGACTGACTTGTTATAAATACAAGGATGTATTGAGATGACCTCTCACATGACCCTTAGTGGGATGTTATTAGATCTTTCACGCAACATATCAATAACGTGAGCGATGCAAAGATCTATTTTTAATTAGATTGAGTGAGTCACTCATTAGAATTAGATACCTAGAGGTTCCCCAACGAGTGATGGTCGGTTGTCATGTTTATCTCACTCGAGTTAATTTTCAAATTGTATAAAGACACGAGGTCTACCTCGGTAGACCTCAAATTGTATAAAGACACGAGGTCTACCGAGTGTCTTTTACAATTTTAAAATTAACTAACGAAAGTTAGATAAATATGATAACCTACCATCACAAGTTTGGGATCCTTTTTCTCCCAACTATGTAGACTTCTGATGGGGGGAAACAATTGCCGTGAATCATGACTTCACAATGGAAGATGACGTCGCATAGCATTGTTACGTGACGTCATAAGTAAAATATTGACCAATGAAATCACGTCTAGGGTGTTGCCCACTAGTGGGTAACCAAAATAATTACCAACTCCTAGCAGGTTTATCCAATGAATCGGGAGTGAGTAAACCTATAGGGTTGTGGGAGAAATCAATATATAAATCACAATGTCACCCATGACCTCTGTATAACACACATCTCATGAAATATTATTGATTTATGATTATTACAGCAGAGACAGTAAGATAGAGAAAACTTAAAGACAAACTTTTCTCTGTAAACTAAGATAGAGATGACAAGTAACTTACAGCCTCCTTGCCTACTGTGACATCATCGGGTAGTTCCTTGACACACAGCACAACTTTACAGCCCTTCCCAATGTAGTAACCAGCCTGGTACAGAAACAAGTAAATGTCATACATACTTAAACACATCAGGTGACAATAGCTATTTTACACATATTTCCTTAATTTTTGATAAAATTTTCACTTGTAAGGAATTATACAAATTATCTGTAAAGCTTTGTAACTAGGCAATTTTGAAAACCACACAAAAACCCTGACTGTCCTGAACACAATGAACTCTAGTTATAAAGTTGCTCAGTTTGTTCAGAAATAGATTACCTCGATCATAGATGATATTGATCGTGTCCTGTCTGAGATGATGTAGAGGAGCAGACGACACTTTTCACGTATGGCCACCTGGATGGGGATGAGTCGTTGCTCCCAGTCATTGACAAAGGGGTTGGCGTAGGACAAGCCATGCTTCCTACCAACAAATAAATGCTTAACTTCAGCATGCTACATACAGATTTATGTACTTTGTCCTTAAAAGGACACAGAACAGTTCCACAGCCACTCCTCCCCCTAGTTACTTACCTCAAAAGACGAACAGCTACTCTCTTTAATTACTTATCTTGATTGTGAAACATCTACCCTTCCTTCTAGTTACTTACTTACGTTGCAGAACAGCCCCCCTCCCCCCAAGTTATTTATCTCAGTAGTGAAACAGCCATCCCCCTCAATTTATTTATCTCAGTAGTAGAAGAGCCATCCCCCTCCCTTATTTATTTTTTACTCTACTCTGTAGTTGAACAGTCAACACACTCCGTTAAGTTATTTACCTCAATAGTGGAACAGCCATCTCCATCCCTCAAGTTATTTATATCAGTAGTGGAACAGCCTTGTCCCTCCATTAAGTTATTTACCTCAGTCGTGGAACAGTCTTCCCCCTCTAGTAACCTACCTGTGTTGTGAAATATCCACGCCACCTTTTTAGTACTTACCTCAGAAGTGGAACAGCTATCCTCTCCCTCCAGTTGGAGTCACCACAGCTACCCCCAAGGTAGATGTCTCGCCCCTCTTGTACATTACTGCAGTTCAGCGCTATGGAATGATTGGTTAATTCTGCAAAATGATAAAAAAATATGCATTATATTGAGTTTACACAAATAAATACAGAACGCATATTTACCTAATGAAATAAAAATCTTCATCATGAACATATATGCATACAATTGCATATGCATGTACCTGGACATTGTTAAGTGAATATCTAGGAAATCAATCAATCTCTCCTTAATTCTTGGCCTCCAAGAAAGCTGGGTCCACGTCCCGAGGCTGGGTACGTTGGTGCTCAGTGCGTATGTGATCATTTCGGGGGTATGATTGTGGCGCGCTGGGCGTCATCGTAGCAGAAGGCTTTCACAGTAGCTCCAATTTGAGCCAACCTGTTTGCCGTGGGTTGCATCTCGTATTCCTGGGGGAAGAAGATCCTGGTAGCTGAGCAGAGTCGGAATCACTGTCAAACTCTTGATAGGAAGGAGACATGATCCGATATTCTGCAACATACTGCTTTGGCTTCGGACTCTGGGTAGACGAGAGGTGATATGGGCCCTCTATCACCAATCGGCTGGTCACGCCGAGCCCTTGGTTTACATACTCCCAAGAAGGCGGTGGCTCAGGGTCAATCGCGAGAGTATACTCTTTCAAATAGTATGTATATTCTTACGAGTATACTATTCTATGTATCTCCGACACTTGGCGCTGGATATCCGCGTCACACCAGTGTCCCCTTGTTGGGCTCCGTGGCGGGTGGAGGCATAGATCGTGAAACAAACAAATATACACATGGGTAAAGATAAAAACCACCAAAACGACGGACATACCAAAATCAGGAACGATGACCCTAGCTCAAAAACAACACAAAACGCAACACAGAACACCCAATTCCCGCAATTCCTTGTGATGACCTCCACACAGAGTGGTAAAACAACGGCCGCGTTGTCGCCACTTCTGTTGAGGAAGGGCATCCAGGGAATCGCAGGGGATGTGAAATCCGTTAAGCCATTGGGATCGGGCGATCTCCTTATAGAGGTTTATCGCCAACAACAGGCGATGAACCTACTCGGAACAACCAGTTTTGCCGGCATCGGTGTCAGTGTGAAACCACACTCATCACTTAATTGCAGCAAGGGGGTAATCAGGTGCCCAGCCTTGCGCAATGACACCGATGAAGACATACTGGCATATTTCCAGGAGGAGAGCGTCCCGGTCTCTGAGGTGAGGCGGATGGTGATCAGGAGAAACAATGATACAATCAAAACAAACACCTTCATCATCACTTTTTCAACGCCAACACTACCCCAAATACTAACAATCGGATACCAGAGGTACAACGTTTCCGTCTACATCCCAAATCCATTGCGATGCCGAAACTGTCAGAAGTACGGTCATCACGAAAAGCGATGTAGACGAAAATCGATCTGCCAGTATTGTGGCCGTGAGGGTCACACCGAGCAAAATGACTGTGACATCGCCAACCTGCGCTGTGTCAACTGTGAGGGGAAGCACGCTGCCTCTTCTCGCGACTGCCCTACCTGGAGCCAGGAGAGGGAGATATTACGGGTTAAATATACCCGAGGTGTCTCTTTCCCCGAGGCCAGGAGGATAGTCGGGAGTGCAGACATTGCTACACCCTCTTACGCACAAGTGACTCGAGGCAAGGCGCCGGTTGACAGTGTCACGGTCAAGGATGCTTCGGTTCAAGTTTCTGAAGACATACCTGCCTGGGGCTCACAAGTCCCAGACATGGCTGGTCAACAGAACTTGAAAATCCTCACGGGGGACCCATCCCGTTTCACGACTTTTCGAAAACCAACCAAAAACAGCAAACAATCAAAACCAGCATCACCATCAAAACCAGCATCTTCATCAAAACCAGCACCTTCATCAAAACCAGCACCACAATCAAAACCAGCACCACCATCAAAAACACCTTCCTCTTCAGGAGAAAACCCTCCAAAGGTTGGCACATCTAGGGCACATGTGCGTTCGCAGCGATCTCGCTCACTCACATCTGTTCCTCGATCCCAACTGAAACCAGAGACAACATCACCCACCAACAGACCTAGGAAAAAAATTAAAATAGCGAGGGGCAAATCCGAAGGACCGGATCTGAATGTCACCTTTGGCAAAGGATCAGAGGACCCGACAAACCGGTTCAATGTCCTACTAGATTTCGATGATGAGATGGAGACGAATGCCTCCGCGCTTCGTGCTTCAACTCCATCGAAATCCAGCCAAAATAACAAAAGATAAATAACACAATTATCCAATGGAACATCCGCGGATTAAAGGCAAATATAGAAGAATTTCAGAATCTATCAAAAGAATTTAGACCCGCCATTTTTTGTCTTCAAGAAATCATGCTCAAAAACCCAATCACGCTTAGAAATTTCTCACTCTACACTAATATTCCAACTGTAGTTAGCAGAGCAGCAGGTGGCGCAGCGGTAGCTGTCCATAAAAATATTCCTCACAGAATGATCAAGTTAAACACAAATTTACAGGCTGTTGCTGTCTGTGCAACATTACACCGACAAATAACTGTCTGTTCAATTTATCTCCCTCCGAGTATTGTTTTCACTTGTGAGCAACTCAATAATCTCGTCTCCCAGCTCCCAACACCATTCATAATCCTCGGTGATTTTAATGGTCATAATAGCCTGTGGGGCTCTCCCAACACAGACGAGAGAGGAAGACGTATTGAGGAATTTATAGATAAAAACAACTTGTGCCTTTTTAACAACAATACCCCTACTTATTTACACCCTGCTACAGGCTCTCGTACCCACATTGATCTATCATTATGCCATCCATCCATTTTACTTGACTATGACTGGAGGGTAAATGATGATCTTTGTGGGAGTGACCACTTCCCAATTTTTCTTCAGAATATTGGGACTCCTCTTGATGATCCTCTACCTCGATGGAATATGCACAAAGCAGATTGGGCCCAATTCCAACACATGTGCATTGAAAAACTAACCATAGACAATTTTACTAACCTCGACGACCCTATCAAAACTTTTACTGAAACACTCACTTCTATTGCCCAAAAGACAATTCCAAAATCCGCTCCAAAACCTACGAAGTTCCTTTTATCTGAAGAATCTTTTAAAACACGCAGTAATCGGGCAGCTGCTCTAAGACGCTACTTCAATTGCCCAACTGCTTCAAACTACAGTGAATTTAAAATTTGGCGGGCAAAGGCTCGGCGATCAATTAAAATTGACAAAAGAAACAGCTGGAGAGAATATGTATCCAAGATATCATCAAACACGTCCTCAAAAAAAGTATGGGATATGATTCGGAAAATAAGTGGGAAAAAGAAAAAGGCAACATCCTCCCACCTCATTAATAAAAACAAAATTTTCTCGTCTATAACTGAAATTGCTGATGCATTTGCAAAAAACATAGCTAAAAACTCATCCCCTCTAAACCACTCCCAAAAATTCCAGTCTTTGAAAAAAAAGAGAGAAAAGAAACGGCTCAATTTCAAATCATCAAACAAAGAAAGTTATAATGAACAATTTACCCTACCAGAACTTGTTGATTCGCTTAGAAAATCACAGGACACTGCTTCAGGTCCTGATGATATTCCATATCAATTTCTAAAGCACTTACCGGACTCTTCACTAACATGCCTTCTTTACATATTCAACCAAGTTTACGCTTCCGGAAAGATTCCCGATTCGTGGAAGAACTCCACAATTATACCTATCCCAAAACCGGGAAAGGATGCTACTGACCCAAACAACTATCGTCCTATCTCTCTGACTAGTTGTGTATGTAAAACTTTAGAACGAATGATAAACACTAGACTGGTTTGGTTTCTTGAGGCCAACGATATAATATCCCCTCTTCAAAGTGGCTTTAGAAATAGAAGAGGGACAAATGACCATCTCATCAGATTAGAGACGTTCATTCGAGAGGCTTTCGCCAAGAAAGAACACCTTGTCGCTGTGTTCTTCGATCTTGAGAAGGCCTATGATACTACATGGCAGTATGGCATCATGAAAGATCTTCACGACCTTGGCGTACGTGGAAACCTTCCCAATTTTATATCTAATTACCTATCAGATAGACACTTCAAAGTCCGTGTTGGTTCAACTTTTTCTGAAACGTCTAAACAGGAAATGGGAGTCCCACAGGGTGGAATCCTATCAGTCACACTGTTTGGACTTAAAATAAATGATATAGTCAAATGTCTTGGTCAATCAACAGAAGGGTCGTTATTTGTGGATGACTTCTTGATCTGTTACAGATCTAAGAACATGCACACGATAGAACGACAACTTCAACAGAGTTTAAACAAACTACAAAATTGGGCAGACGAAAACGGCTTCAAATTCTCTAAATCCAAAACTGTGTGCATGCATTTCTGTCAAAAACGAAAAGCACACAATGACCCAAATCTAACACTCGATGGCACTAGAATTCCTGTTGTTGAACAGACTAAATTTCTCGGCCTCATTTTTGATTCGAAACTCTCTTTCATACCACATATAAAGTATCTGAAGGATAAGTGTTCCAAGGCGTTAAACATTATACGAGTCCTTTCTCATACTGATTGGGGAGCGGATCGTGAAATGCTTTTGCGCCTATACAGATCACTTATTCGAACAAAACTGGATTATGGTTCTATGGTATACGGGTCAGCGCGCAGTTCGTACCTTCAGATGCTAGATCCAATCCATAACCAAGGGCTACGTCTTGCCCTGGGAGCTTTTCGAACAACACCTGTAAAAAGCCTGTACGTGGAAGCAAATGAACCATCCCTTTATGACAGAAGAATAAAACTTTCATTACAATTTGCAACTCAATTAAAATCAAACCCTAAAAATCCTGCTTTCAACCAAGTATTCAACCCCAAATACCAAAACATATTTACGCAAAACCAAAAACTTCTGCCAACATTTGGTATCCGAATTTTGAATTTCCTGCAAGAACTCAACATAAAATTGACGGACATAGCTGAATTTAACATATCTGATGTTCCTCCGTGGACCATTCAAACCCCCGATTTTAACTTTACATTACATGAGCGAGGGAAATCAAGTGTTATGCCCGAAGAACACAAATCCTCCTTTCGGGAATGCATTTCGAATTACCCTTCTCATACACAACTTTACACCGATGGCTCCAAAGAAGGTGAGAAAGTGGCAGCAGCCTGCTGTACTGCCAATACTTGCACTTCAGTCCGACTACCAGACGGCGCCTCCATCTTTTCTGCTGAAGCATGCGCCATTGGTTTGGCCCTCGACCATATCGATGAACACCGCATTAAAAAGGCAATTATTTGTTCAGACTCTCTATCTGTCCTACAGAGTTTACAGTTACGAGATCCTAAAAACACAATCGTACAAAACCTTGCTCATCGAATATCTCGTATATTAAAAAAGTCTAAAATAACTTTACTATGGATTCCGAGCCATGTCGGAATAAAAGGCAACGAATTTGCTGACAGGGAAGCAAAAAATGCATTGAATCTCGAACAAACAAATATCAAACTACCATACACAGATTTTAAACCTACTATTCGTACAGCCATTCAAAATGAATGGCAGAAACGCTGGTCTCTGGAGACCAACAACAAACTTTTTAAGATACAACCGAAACTTAAAACATCTATTCCCAGTCGGAAAGATCGTAGAGAGGAAGTTGTCCTCGCTCGGCTCCGCACTGGGCACACATATCCTACTCATTCGTACCTTTTAAAACGAGAAGATATACCTTCATGCCACGCATGTGACACTCCATTTACAGTGGAGCATTTTTTAATAGAATGTTCCGATTTTAAACACATTCGTGATAACTACTTCCGAGTCCCGGATATGAAAACACTTTTCAGTTCCGTGGATTCGAAGGCATTATTTAACTATTTGAAAGACATCGGTCTATTTTATAGACTCTGATGTCTTTTAACCCACCTTATCCTTTTTGACGTTATATATATATCGCATATTCCATATCATCTATTCGTTATCTCTTTTATTATTTTAACCCCCTTTTATTATTTTTAATTATCTACACATACAATGCGAATACTTTTAAAATGAACCATTTTATCTGATTTTATCTTCGCTATTCACATGTTTGTTAAAAAAGTAAAGTGAATAAATAAATCACCATGGCCCTAAATGACCACAGCCGTCGATGGGCCGTTAAACATAAACAAACAAACAAACAAACCTTAATTCTTAATTACACAGTAAGCAAGTAATGTAAAGACAACCAGCTCACACATCTATTAAAAATAATTCCTGTCTTCAATAAATGAAGGAAAATCAAACATACTTGTCAGCCAGGAAGTGGTAAATGGTATAATAGATATAACAAGAGGCCTAGAGGACCTGTATCACTCACCTGTTTCTTTTGTTACATGAAACTGACATATAGGTAACTTCAGACCAAATTTGGTAATTAGAACACAAGACATTTTAACATCTTTTAAATGCTTCTTAAGATATAGTTGTTTGAAATTTGAAATTTCAATTTTAAAGCTTTTAACCCATGTTGACCTTTGACTCTGGCTAGCACTTAAAGTTGACATTTGACCTCATTACTGTAATAAAGAAAACGATTCACAGCTGGTCTACATAACATACTGAAGTATCATGACTCTATACCAAATGCTTCTTAGGATATCGTTGTTTGAAGTTTTTATCATATTTGACCCTTGTGTCATTTTAATGAGGAAGCTTTATATCACTCTATCCCAGGTACCTACTGGCCAAATAGCACGACCATTATGGAACTTGAGAAGAAGATTGTTAAAGCTTTTAACCCATGTTAACGTTTCACCCCGGAATAGCACTTAAAGTCTACCTTTCACCTCATTACTGTAATTAAGAAAAATATTTGCACTGCTGGTCTTTATAACACACCTAAATATCATGACTAGTCCAAATGGTTCTTGGGATATTGTTGTTTGAAGTGTTTAACATATTTGACCCTTGTGACCTTGAACGAAGGTCAAGGTCATTTTAATGATGAAACTTTGTAGCACTCTATCCCTGGTACTTACTGACCAAATATCATGACCCTAGGTCCTCCAGTTCTTCAGAAGAAGTTGTTCATGAGAAAAAGATGACCGACGGACGACTGACGCCGCAGTATGACATAAGACACAATGGCCCGAAAGGGCCATATGAGCTAAAAACAGTCAATACTCTTCAGGTAACGAGCAGGTAAGCTTTTGGCTTTGACTTTGATGGGTGTAGTTTACTACAGTAACAGTGAATCCATCCACTGATCACCAGCCTAATGAAAGTCTGACCACAAGATTCACATAGGACCAGTAAACACAAAGACTTTTTTAACCTATACTTGGCACGGACAGGACAATGTATATTTTCCTATAGTGTGGGTTTCTGTCACATTCGGAAGGGTTGAGGAGCAATATTTTAAGAATATATGAAACATCTTGCAGTTTGTGATGACATTGACAGTGATTTAAGGTGAATCTAGGGTCTTATACAGGCCCCTTTTCCTTGATATTTTTTGCTACATTTCGCCAAATCATTGCAAAAATCACTTTATTTCCTCCGAATCATGCTTTTTTGTGATATATTTCTAAAGTCACAGGCCCCTGTCAAAAAGAGGTAGAAAAAATAACTGCTATGTATACACTTACTTTGAAGTAAACATCTGAACAGCTGAATCAACTTTTCTATGAACGGCTTGCTCTGAAAATAAGAAAGGAAAGATACTTGGTCACCACACCAGGCAGATATCATTGGTCATTATCGGCGTAGCACTGTCGCTATAACGGCAGTATTTGCAATATTTTCACATGAGTAAAACATGAAGTCCTTTACTGTATAATTTTATATGAGAAACAACTGTTGGGATGTCTCAGAAGTTTCTGTAGTTCAGTTGTTAAGAAGTGAACTGCCCTACCTTCCTCTGATACTCCACCACGATACAACAGAAGGCCTCAAAGTTGTACTGGTCATCATGGCTCCTGTTTCTATGGTTACTTAGCCACTCCAGATCAAGGATCTGACCTCCCGTACAGCTCTTGTAGGCCAAGCACACCTAGGGTGGACAGATTTATTAAAACTCATTATCAATATTTTCCAAGCATTTCTTATAACAAACAATTGTTATTCTGAAGGAAGTGTATTATTTTTTCAGTCCTATACCAAAACATTACGTTCAAATGATATAAATTGTGGAATTATTGGATTCAACTGTGGGAGTGACTGTACTCCAACAATGTTAGAGGTTTTACACGGCGAAAAACTTTTGACAGGCGCCACGTCGCAGTCGGCAAAATCATATCCGATTGAAAAAAGGCCGACCAGCGGCCTCTCATGTTATGAGTATGAGTAGGAGTGACTGATAAATCAATATTGACAATCCTTACTTTATTTTTAAAATAAAACAATAAAAAGAACAAGGTTAGATAAACATCTGTTTAAATGATTCACAGTACTCACGTCTTTAGCACTGATGTGACAAGATCCTGTACTGTCCATGGAGTTGAATGCCTCCCTCATCTGACTGTGTAACAAACAATGCATTTCAAATATAAGTGATGTGAAAGTATCACAGAAAATTCCATATAAAGTTTGAACAGCAATTTTTTTCAATTTCATGCTGGTATGCACACAATACTCTTACATACATATTCCATGGGGGCTTCATGGTAAAAATGTAACCGATGTGTGTTCATACTGGCTTGAACATTGAAAAAGTGTGATATTTACATGGTCAATTTTAGTTATTATTGACCTAAATATAGATATTTTCCATATTGAAGTGTCTATGTTGTCATTGCAAATGATGAGATTGCTGGAACTGACTAACGTCACCAAAATGTTTGTTTCTAAATGACGCTGATGAAATTGTGTTCATTATTCTACTGGTTATGCTTATAGAGGAACCTGCAGTGGAAATGTCAATATAATGTCTTAAACATACTTTTATGATGGCACAGAGAAAGTACACTGCTACCATGTTACAGAACAGAAATGTAATGCCAAAATATACCGGGGTAAGAGTTCCAAGCAGAAATTTCACCAACAACTTACAGCTAATGGTGATGGTTGAAATAAGATTCTCTCAGATATGAGTTACTGTTAACATGCCTATTTCTGCACAATAACATTTTAGTGTGTTATCAAATTTTGACAGAATACCGCAACGATGATTTGGCAAAACCACAATATCTGTAACCAAAATAAATATACAGAAACTGCAATAAGTGTAATGATAATTTAGTGAAATGCTTTATGCATGAAAAACTCTAAATTAAGAATATTGCTAAAATCTGTACGTCTACAGTATAATTGAGAGATCGTACATGACTTACAGTAGTGCTGTTCCCACTTTGAGGTAGCCATACAGTACAGGCTGTACACCATCATCCACGATCAGCTCCTCTATCTTCAACCCCTGTAGATATAACATGTAACAGTCTACTGAACAGCACTTATATTTACTGTGTAGTCCTTATATTTACTGTATAGTCCTTATATTTACTGTGTAGTCCTTATATGTACTGTATAGTCCTTATATTTACTGTGTAGTCCTTATATTTACTGTGTAGTCCTTATATGTACTCTATAGTCCTTATTTTTACTGTGTAGTCCTTATATTTACTGTATAGTCCTTATTTTTACTGTGTAGTCCTTATATTTACTGTGTAGTCCTTACATTTACTGTATAGTCCTCATATTTACTGTACAGTCCTTATATTTACTGTGTAGTCCTTATATTTACTGTGTAGTCCTTATATTTACTGTGTAGTGTTTATATTGCTGTATATGCTGTAGTACTTTTATTTACTGTACGGTATAAGTATTTCTGTTCATTGTAAAGAGCTGTTACTTGTTGTCTTTTGCTTATTTTAATGAAAAGCATAAATATTTTTATTGCATAATGCTTTAATATATTAACTGTACAAGTGGGTATAGCCTACCTTCTACAGTACAGTCCGGGTACAGGTAAGGGCTGTGTTATTTCATTATAGCCTACCTTGTCCAGTACAGTCTGGGTACTGGTAAGGGCTGTGTTATTATATTATAGCCTACCTTGTCTAGTACAGTCTGGGTACAGGTAAGGGTTGTGTTATTATTATAATAACACAACCCTTACCTGTACCCAGACTGTACTAGACAAGGTAGGCTATAATATAATAACACAGCCCTTACCAGTACCCAGACTGTACTGGACAAGGTAGGCTATAATGAAATAACACAGCCCTTACCTGTACCCGGACTGTACTGTAGAAGGTAGGCTATACCCACTTGTACAGTTAATATATTAAAGCATTATGCAATAAAAATATTTATGCTTTTCATTAAAATAAGCAAAAGACAACAAGTAACAGCTCTTTACAATGAACAGAAATACTTATACCGTACAGTAAATAAAAGTACTACAGCATATACAGCAATATAAACACTACACAGTAAATATAAGGACTACACAGTAAATATAAGGACTA